TGCCAATTTAATAGAAGAAAGTATTCTTGTGTTGAGGGAGTACTTGAGTGGAGGCCCAATGTCCTTCTGCTACCTTAATACTAAATCTATAAATAGCAGATGCTATATCTTTTGATAGCTAGGCACCATCGGCTTTCTTTACATTTGCTTATGCACCCATTTTGTCTTAAACGATCATGTCAGAAAAGTAAGCATCACAGAATGCTAGGTTATTAGAACAAAGTGTTCTTACATTGAGAGAGTCTTGAATAGAGGCCCAATGTCTGTCTGCTGCCTTAATACTTAGCATATAAAAATATGTACATAGATCTATTTCCCTATAGTTATATATTTATATATGTACATCCCTGTATTTAGACCTCTATAAGTGCCCTTTGCCTCCTAGTTCTTTCCTCTATTTCCTTTTACTTTCCTCTTGTTCCACTATCATATTCGGCCTTCATTCAGATTTCAGTAATTCCTCTCGGCTACACTGCCCTTGATCAAGCCCCAGCTGGCATCCTATGCCTCCTTGCCATCAATTTTAGATCAGTTATTGTTCCCATGACCCTTGGTTGGTTGGCAGCCCACTTCCTTTCAATTTAACATTTTTCATATATTTAATGTGGTGACATTAATCATGTTATATAACCATCACTAATATATTTTGCCAATCTTTATATCAACATAAAAGAAACAGTACACTTCCTAACAATGACTCTCCCTTCTCCCTGAACCTTGTAACCACTAATGAACTTTGGTCTCTTTACATTTTCTTCTTCTAGATATTTTATATTAGTGAGATCATGCAATATTTGTCTATTTGAGATTAAGTTACTCACTGAGCAAGTTTTCAAGGTTCATTCATGTTGGATCATTTATCTTTATGGCTGAGTAGTATTCCATTGAATCGATGTGTATACCACATTGCTATTCATTCACCTCTTGATGGCCATGTGAATTGTTTCCCCTTTGGGGTATTGTGAACAAAGCTGCAGTGAACACTGATGTACATATATCTGTTTATGAGGATGTTTTCAAGTCTCTTGAATATATATCTAGCAGTGTAATTATTTTCGTTAGCTACTCATTTCTTGTTTAGCATAAGTTTCACTTTGTAGTTAGTAAAAATTTAGAAGAACAAGTTCCACTCTGCCCTATAGGGTCGCTATGTGTTGGAATGGACTGGACAGTAAATTGCCTTCACCGCACACTCACTAGAATGGCTAAAATTGACAAGTGTTGTTGAAGACACAAAACAATGGGAATTCTCACACATTACTGGTGGAAATGCAAAATGGGAGAAATTTAATGTTTTTCTTACACATACTCTTAACATAAAACCCAAATATACTGCCATTGCGTAAATTCTGACCCATGGCTAAATATAAGAGACTCTAAAATCTCTTAACTTTACTTCTCTTTTTTTTATATATAAATCATTTTATGGGGGCTCTTACAGCTCTTATAATGATGCATACATCAATCGTATCAAGCACATTTGTACACATATTGCCAACAACAATTTCAAAACATTTTCTTTCTACTTGAGCCCTTGGTATCAGCTCCTCTTTTTACCCTCCCTCCCACCCTTGTGAACCCTTGATAAATTATAAACTATTATTATTTTTATATCTGACACCATCCTTAACTTATTTTTAAGCAGAAACGTATTAGGAACCAATAGCTCTGGTTATGAACACTTAATTATGGTACAGCCACTTCTTTATGGTTTCCCTCAGCTTCTCTAAATTCATCTGAAATATAAATTAATTTTTGTGTTTTACATTATTTACACTATTTTTATTCTATGCTTTTAGGCATTTTTGAAATTTATCATGAGCATCAAAACCATCAAGTCTATTCTGCCTCATAGCCCGCCTGAGAACATGGTAGAAGGGAGAACTAACTGCCCCTGTGGGTTCCGAGACCAGTCCTCTGACAGGAGTGGAAAGCCTCATCTCTCTGGTGGTTTCAAACTGTTGATCCAGTGGTTAGCAGCCCAACACGTAACCACTACACCTCCAAAGCCAAAAACACTCAGAGAACAATTTCCTAAAAACAATCATAAAAATAGACAGCAGGGGGCAACATAATACTGCTATTTTCATTTTAGAAACAATTACATCAATATGTCAGCGTGGCAACATCATCAAATTCTGCACTCTTAATTTTCTCTTAAAAGTTTGCTAAGGTTTAACCCTCATTGCTAAATGAGAATGGTGCATGCTCTCTAAGGAATAATTCACTGAAACCACCTGTATAGCACCCCACCCCACCCCTACCAAATTTGGTCTCAAATGTCCTAATACCTTTAAGTACCCCCTCCCCATTTAGCCACAAAAGTGGTATTCTACATCTATTGTACTTTCTGCCTCTTCTCCCCTAACCCCTCTGGATCCCAACAACCTCTCATCTAACGCCCACCAAAATACTTAAATCAACAAATCAATACAAAGCAAAAAACATGCTACCCATATGGCATGTACAAGATGCATTTTACATTTACCACAAAATGTAAAAGATAAACGCTCATCAGAATAAATGCAAATTTAGTCCAGTCTTTTTTGCTATTTTTTAGCCCAATGCCACATAAAAGCTAGAATTTCACTTTCTAGCACATAAAAAGATAACTTTAATGTGTTTTTAAAATTCTTTAACAGTATTATCATTTAGGATGTGATAGCAAGACAAAGATACTGGGCTGCTTGTCAAGTACACTGCTGCATCATGGGGTTTTACTGTTGCCACTCTTCCTCTTTTTTTTTGTTTGTCATTGTTTGAAGTGATCTTGTTTGTCGCAAGACTCCACGTCCATTCCGTTTCACTTTCTTCTTTTTTTCTTTAAGCCGCTCAGACCACTGTGTAGGGTTGAGAGGTAAGCAACACTTTCTCTTATCACACTACTTTGAATCATAAGAACTGGGAACACATTTTATGGTAAAGTATAACTCAGCATTACTCAATAGCATTCAGTTGGTATTTAATGACAGAAAAGAACATTATAATCATTTCATTAAGTTGTTTTCAGTACACTGCTCGATTCTCTCTGTCCAATTTATTTCTAGGGATTTGTTTTATATGAATAATTCTGGGACTATTCTCCCCACTCCCAGTCCCCGTCTCCACTGGAGAAAAATGTGCTGGTCGTGTCATCTTGAAATTTCTTTTTTCCCGAAGACAACCAATTGGATCAACTTATATCATGGGTTCTCTCTCTCTCTCTCTCCCTCTCTCAACCTATCTGATCAAGATACAGGTCACTGAGACACTGCAGCAGATCATCAAACCTTTCACTGATAGAAACCCAGTCATACACTTTAAACTAAGACATGATGGGACTCCAGAGATGTGTGTGCTTTTGTATGTGTGTGTTCGTTTGTTTATGTGTGTTCATAAATGATATTAAGGTCCAAAGGTTTAAAGGGTTATTTCTAAGTCAAAACTGAATAAGGAGTAGAGACAGAAACTCAGGATCTACCTTTCAATAATATGATCTATTTGTTTTTGAGTCCCCCAGTAGAAACCCCAACTCTGGTTCTCTTCCTGAAGACCCGCTCCAGGGCAGGCTGATGAGGCCAACTGAGAGTCCGGCATCAGAATATTTTATAACCCAGGATTCAGGGACTGTGTCTTTCCACCTCAATGACATCCTATCCTCAATAGTGTTCGTCTACCTGCGCGAACACAGAGAAGTCCCACAATGTCCGGTCTCTTCATGTTGTTGAGGCATTAGAGTCTGGTATCTATTTCAAGTTTGCCTGGGCTCTAAACCTCGTTTTATAACTCATTATTCCCAATCTGTACCAGACCAACCCTGTCTTTAAAGAAAAACAAAGACAAATGCATCAAAATCAGACAACAAACTAAATAATGAAACTGTAAGAACAATACTGTATATTTTCCTTTATTCACGATCTCACTAGATAATACCCAAACCTCAGCACTCTTGTCAAACTCAGCAGTGTCAAACTCTGGTCTCAGAAAATGAGGGAATACCCATTCATGAGAATTAACTAAAGGGCAATATCAGCAATACAGGTAAGAAATTCCCCAGTACTCACTGCCATTTTTTCTCTTGAATGATAATGAATTTAAAACATACATAGCCAGGAAGAACTGTTCCCTACAGCACATGTTACTTAAATGAAGGGTCCCACTTAGTGGCAATATTTCAAAATGGCTGTTCTTATATAAATTTATGTCATTAGACATAGAGAAGAGTTTTCTGCATAATAATATGAAGCGGATCAAAAAGAGACTCAAGGGTAGCTCAAAAAGGAAAGGGAATAAAGCTGTTAGAAGCAATTCAAACTATAAAAACTATCCCAAAGTGTCCTCTCTTTTATGAAAACAAATCATGGAAAACATTCAAGACAACATAAATATAGCTACAGATAGGACCCATTTGCAGTACTACATGTGTTCAAACATTACCCCCCATATCCCCTGTCCCTCCCAAACTTCTTATTTGGAATATTTTTGTAACCACCCACAAGGTAAATTTAATAGATATGTAGATATAAAAACAAGGTGGATTACTATAAATTGTCTACTCAAACCAACCCCATTATTTCATAATTATATTTTTGTACAAAAGCTAATATTATTTTAAAATAACTATATAAGAGTACAACTATGAAAATAATGAGCTAACTTTCATACAATATTTATAGGAATCAACCATTTATATAAAACTGTATATTTACTGATCAGGTTTATATACATAGCATGTTTTGCAATTACATACAACTGTGTGCTTCTCTAGCTCACTGGACTATGGCACAGGGGGCAGAAGTTGTAGTTGCTGATTTCCTGAGCCTGAACGCAGTGCTTACACACACTGCACATCCAGAATTGATATTCAGTGATGGGGCTGCCGGTGGCAACACATGTGGGCAGTTTTCCTTCCCCACTGTAAAAATAAAAGGGAAAAACAATGAAATGTACAATGAAACTTAAAATTAATCTAATTTACGGGTTACTCTTAAAGTCTTACACTGAGAAAACAAAGCACTACTACAATTGTACAACTGAATAAAACAGGTATGGTGTTATGGTAGATTATCTCAAAATGTAGTACTTTCATTATGATATTACACTCTTATACACATGCATACATTTAAGGTCCAAGCATCCACTAATGTAGACAGGCATTTGCTAATTACAATTAGCCTACCCTTCAAGAAGACTGTCCATTTCAGATTTCCTGCTGTCTTTTGGAGTATGCTTCATGAAGATTTCTAGAGCAAGATCTTCATATTGTTTCCTCTGTTGTGGACTGAGCGTATCTAAGGATTCCAGTTTAATAAAAGCTTTTGAGCAGGTACCAAAAGCTCTACCAGCAGAGGCACAGAGTGCTAACAGAGAGTAGATCTCAACAGCAGGGATAATATCTTCATAGTCTCTCAAGTGGAGAGCTAGAAAAGACAGGGCAATTTGTTTTGTTTTTTTAAGGAATCATAATTTCATGAACATGCATTGGTAAGAATTATTTGTCATATCTGGACAAATATCAGATTCACAAGAAATAATGTGCTGAGCAAGAAATTCCAATCATTTTATCACTGAAAGATTAACTTAATTGCTTTTGTTGTTAAGTGCCAAAGAGAAGGTGTCAACACATAGCAACTCAATACACAACACAGTGAAACACCACCAGGTCATCAGAAGCAACAAAGCCCACATGGAAGAAGCACACCAGCCTGCGTGATCATGAGATGCCGAAGGGATCAGTTATCAGGCATCAAAGAACAAAAAATCCTATCACTGTGTGCTCAGCGATCCCTGATATGATCGCTGAAGACAAATGGGTGCCCAAGCAAATGTGGCGAAGAAAGCTGATGGTGCTGGCTACCAAAAGAGATAGCATCTGGGGTCTTAAAGGCTTGAAGGTAAACAAGTGGCCATCTACCTCAGAAGCAACAAAGCCCACATGGAAGAAACACACAGGCCTGTGCGATCACAAGGTGTCAAAGGGATCAGGTATAAGGCATCATCAGAACAAAAAATCATATCACTGTGACTGGGGGGGAGTGCCAAAGCCCACCTGTAGGCAATTGGAAATCCCCTTATGGAAGGGTCTCGGGGAGGAGACGAGCCAGTCAGCATGCAATGCAGCAACAACGAAACATCCAACTTTCCTCTAGTTCCTAAGTGCTTCCTCCCTCCCCCCGCCCCCACTATCATGATCTCAATTCTACCTTACAAATCTGGCTAGACCAGAGGATGTACACTGTCACAGATAGGAACTGGAAACACAGGGAATCCAGGACAGATGATCCCTTCAGGACCAGTGCTGAGAGTGGCGATACAGGGAGGGTAGAGGGAGGGTGGGCTGGAAAGGGGAACCAATTACAAGGATCTACATATACCCTCCTCCCTGGGGGACAAACAACAGAAAGTGGGAGAAGGGAGACGTCAGACAGTGCAAGATATGACAAAATAATAGTTTATAAATTATCAAGGGTTCATGAGGGAGGAGGGAGGGGGGAGGGGGAAGCGGGGAGGGAGGGGTAAAAATGAGGCGCTGATGCCAGGGGCTTAAGTGGAGAGCAAATGTTTTGAGAAGGATGACAGCAATGAATGTACAAATGTGCTTTACACAATTGATGTATGTATGGATTGTGATAAGAGTTGTATGAGCCCCTAATACAATTATTAAAAGAAAAGAAAAGAAAAGAAACCCTACCGGGTCCTGCACAAAGGATCCTCACAAGTATTCCTTTGCCTGAGCCCACTGTTGTTGCCTCAATCCCTCTCACTGAGGGCCTTCCTCTTTTTCCATTCCCCTCCACTTTACCAAGCATGATGTCCTTCTCCAGGGACTGGTCTCATCTCACATGTCCAAAGAATGTAAGACGAAGTCTCGCCATCCTGGCCTTGAAGGAGCACTCTGGCCAGACTTCTTCAAGACGGATCAGTCTGTCCTGTTAGCAGTCCACGGTACTTTCAATATTCGTCAGCAGCACCACAATGCAAATGCTTCAATTCTCCTTCAGGTTTCCTTAGTCAATGTCAAATTTTCACGTGCATATGAGACAACTGAAAATACCATGGTTTGGGTCAGGCTCACCTTAGTCCTCAAAGTAACACCATTGCTTTTCAACACAAGAGGTCTTGTGTAGCGGATTTACCTAATGCAATACGTATTTTAATATCTTGACTGCTGCTGCCAGCATTGACTGTGGATCCAAGCAAGACAAAATCCTTGACAACGTGAACCTTTTCTCCATTCATGATGTTACCTATTGGTATAGGCCTAAAGATTTTAGCCTTCTTTTTATTGATTCATAATCCACCACTAGTCTGTAAGTTTGCCATACTGTGGTGGTTTGTGTTGCTGTGACACTGGAAGCTAATTCACTGGTATTTCAAATACCAGCAGGGTCACTTAAAGTGAACAGGTGTCAGCAGACGTTCCAGGCTAAGAACAGACAACGAAGAAGGATTCTGTTGTCCACTTTGGAAGAATTCAAGAATACAAGAAGAACACTAGAAAACTTTACAGAGGAACATACATACACAGAAAAGAAATTATTTTTTGAGATTTTTCTGAATGAGAAAACTCAGTATTATTGTAAGCTTATCAATTGTCCCCTTATTAATATATAAAGTTAATTCAATTGCAATGCAAAACCCAGTGGGATTTCACTGAAGTCTCCCCATCCTCAAACAGATTTCCAAGATAACCTGGATGAATAAATTCAACACAAGACAAAAGAAAATTTCAGAAAGAAGACTAAAAAAAAAAAGCTTACCTATTATTGAAATATAAAAGTAAACAAGAGGATCCTATTTGAACAGAAAAATAAAAGGGGTAGAAAATAATACTTTAGGAAGGGATTAATATTACATATAATTTTAATTCATGACACAAAATTTCAAATCTGTGAGTAAAGAATTCATTTTTAATACATGGTTTTAGGATAACTAATAAATTACAATAAAATATAATACTCAATAGCTCTAAAATGAAGGACTTCCTAAGCAAGACCCCTGCATGAAAAACATAGAAAAGGCTGATAGATATGACTAAATTAAAAACACTATTGATATCATCATCACAGCTATCATTATTAAGGGCTTATAAGATCCAGGCTTATATATGTGGATTTTTTTGTCATTAATTTTCTTAATCGTCAAGAAACTCTGTAAAGGAGCTAGTACTAATATTCCCACTTTACATAAACAAAAACTTGAGAGGCTAGTTAACTCATTAAAACTTCTGAATGCTAGTGAAAATTCAATACACAGAGCACAAGATTACTATAAAGAAACAATAGTTATTAAAAATAGAAATTAACTCTGTAGAATTGTATATATTTCCCAAAGCCAAAAGATGTTTTTTTAATGTTTTTTAAATTTGCTATTATTTATGAGCCCTGGTGGTATAGTGGTTATGTTTTGGACTGCGATCTCCATGGTCTGCAGTTCTAAACCATCAGCAGCTCCTCGGGAGAGAGACTGGGCTTTCTACTCCAGTAAAGAGTTACAGTCTCGGAAACCCGCAAGGAGTCAGCATTTCCTCCCTGGCAGTGGTTTCATTATAATACAACCTCGTGATACACTCAGCTATGTTGCTATGAGGGGAGATTGACTCCACGGCAATGGGTGTGGTTTGGGTGTGTGTGTGAATTTCATGGTATGAGTTGCAGATTGGTAATTACGTTGTAGCCCTATCACCTTGACTCTTCAGGGAGGGGAGTCTTAGCAACGCTTGCAGCATGCGCATGGTCCATCTGAAGGAACTCTGATGGCCTAGTCACTTACGGGTTTTGATTTATAACATTAGTTTTCATAACTATGCTAGTTTGGAGTTAATGTAGCCAAACTCCAGGGCACTATTAATTTAAAGGACATCAAGATCCTGATACCACGAATGGGCTAAACAGCTCATGAAAACAGACAAAGATGTTAGTCTCAGGGAAATGCAAATCAAAACCACAATGAGGTACCACTGCCACCCACTCTGATAGCCAGTAACATAAACTACACACACACACACACACACACACACAGAGTAAATAATAAGTATTGATAACGGTTGGTAAAAGAGCCTTTGTACATTGCTAGTAGAGCTGTAAAATGACACAGCCACTGTGGAAAAGTTTGACAGCTCCACAAAAAGTCAAACGGAGAATTACCAACTGACCCAGCAACTTCAATCCTAGGCACATGCCCAAAGCACTGAAAGCAGGATGGCAGGCATCTATTTGCCATGAATATTCAGTGCAGCACAGTCACACAAGCCGAAAGGTGAAAACAATCCAAATGTCCACCAGCAGATAAGTTAATAAAAAAATGTAGAATGTGTGTATGTATGTGTGTTTGTGTGTGTGTGCATATATATTATTACAATGACATATGTAATAGAGTTGGAAAGACGTGCTCAACATATCTTAAACTGAAAGAACTCAAGAAAAAAATGTAAGCCTGGAGTTGCAATACTTAAAAATTCTATGGGCAAAATATTGAATGATGCAGGAAGCATCAAAAGAAGATGGGTAGAACACACAGAGTCACTGTACCAAAGAGAATTGTTGACATTCAACCAGGAGATAGCACAGGAGCAGGAGCCAATGGTTCAGACGGAAGAATTCCAAGTGGCACTGAAAGCCTTGCCCCACAACAAGGCTCCATGAATGGATGGAACACTAACTGAAATTTCTTAACAAGCTGATGAAACACTGGAAGCACTTACTCATCTATGCCAGAACATTTGGACGACAGCTACTTGATCTACTGCCTGAAAGTGATTCCTATTTGTACCCATTCCAAAGAAAGGTGATACAACCAGATGCTCAAATTACAGAACAATTTCATTGATATCACGTGAACGTAAAATGTTACTGAAGATCACCCATCAACAGTTGAAGCAGTACAGTGATAGGGAGCTGCCAGAAGTTCAGACCAGATTCAGAAGAGGACATGAAACATGGGAAATCATTGCTGATGTTAGATGGATCTTGGCTGAAGGCAGAGAATACCAGGTGTTTACTTGTGTTTTATTGACAATGCCAAGGAATTCACCTATGTGGATCATAAAGAACTACATCAGAACACTTCATTGTGCTCATGTGGAACTTGCACATGGATCAAGAGCCAATTGTAAAACAGAATAGGAGAATATCGTTTGGTTTAGAATCAGGAAAGGTGTTTGACAGGATTGTATCCTCTCAACAAACTTATTCAATCTATATGCTGAGCGAATCATCAGAAGAGACGGCTTATCTACAGAAGGATGCGACATGGAGATGGGAGGAAGGTTATTAACAACCTGGAATGTGCAGATGACACAGCCTGGCTTGCTGAAAATGAGGACGTAGGCACTCGCTGATGAAGGTCAAGGATTACAGCCATCAGTGTGGATTTCAACTCAATGTAAAGAAAACCAAAATCCATAAATTCTTATGGTATG